CATAAGCCAATTTTCTTTTTCATAACTAAAATGGAAATACGAACTATAGGTAGAACTAAGCCCAGGTCTCTGAGTGTCGCGTTCTTTAATGCTAACGGTATCAGAGATCAAAAGTAAGAGATCATGTATTTTTTACGCAACCATGATATCGACATCATGCTAGTGCAAAAGACCTTCTTGAAACCTAGTTTAAGCGATCCCAAAATAGCCAGTTATACCTTAGTAAGAAATAATAGGCTGACCGGACCTAAAGGCGGCACCTTGATCTACTACAAAAGGTCCTTGCAATGTGTACCAATAGATACTCCGCCGCTTACTAACTTAGAAGCGTCGGTCTGTAGGATAGCACTTACGGGCCATCCGCCAATAATAATTGCATCAGCATACCTGTCTCCCTTAAAAAGTATATTAGATTCCGACATATCGGCTCTATTAAACCTAGGCCCTAGCGTATTAATCGCGGGAGACCTAAATAGTAAACACGTTAGCTGCAATTCTAACGTTAACAATCCTAACGGAAGTATTTTAAGAGACCTCACGGAGAGACTTAACTTCGACGTTATCGCTCCCGAGAGTCCAACACGCTATCCCTTTGCAGATAACCAACATCCGGATGTCCTTGTTATAGCATTGCTAAAAGACATCCGACTTACTATTAATTCGATAGAGGTTATTATGGAACTAGTCTCAGACCACAGGCCGGTAGTTTTACAACTGGGCCGGCCGGCAGGTGAGGTCCCTCAGACCAAAACCATTGTCGACTGGCGTAAACTTGAGGTAAAACTTAAGTCTACGAACTCCCAGCATTTGGCAAGATAGACTCGCTAGAGGAGGCCGATAGGGTTTCGACTCACCTCACATCAGCGGTCGAAGAATGCTCCTGTAAGGTTCGTGTGTCGAGCGATCAATATACGAAACTTTCAGCGGATGTTCGACGGCTGATTAGAGCGAAGAATTCCGCGTTTAAAACATATGACCGATATCGCACGGAAGCCAATAAACTTCGGGTACGTTCTCTACAAAACGAGATTAAACAACGAGTAGCCGAGTTTAGAAACGATAGCTGGGATAACCTCTTAGAAGGTATCGAACCATCTCAAGGCGCCTTCTGGAAATTAACAAGAGCTCTTAAAGCCGACAAATCCTCACCGATGCCGCCTCTCGTGAGGCTGGACCACCCTGCTCTCGCCCTAGACGATCTCGAAAAAGCCGAATGCCTAGCCGACAGTCTAGAGTACGAGTGCACGCCATCCACTGCACCAATAGATCCCGCTCACCTACTAGAAGTAGAAACGGAAATAGAACGTAGGTCTGCGCTGCCACCAGCGGGTGAACCAATCGATCCTGTGACAGTAGATGAAGTCACCGAAACAATCAAAAGCCTTAAGAATAGATCAGCCTCTGGGCCAGACGGCATCAGTAACAAGGTGATCAAATCCCTTTCGGCGCCACTTATTTGCCTCCTTGTAGGAATATTTAACACCTTTCTCACGAACTGCTCCTTCCCGGACATCTGGAAAGAAGCAGAGGTAATAGGGATCCCAAAACCGAGTAAACCGCGTAATCGTCCCTCTAGCTACAGACCCATTAGCCTGCTCAACACATTGGGCAAACTATACGAGCGCATTATTCATAAGCGTCTCCGTCATTACACAGAATCTAACGGACTCCTCCCAGACGAACAGTTTGGCTTTAGAGCCAATCACTCATGCACCCACCAGATTCATCGCCTAACAGAATACATTCTGTATGGATTCAACCAAAACCCAATAAGGAAAAAGGCTCGAAATACGGGAGCCCTCTTCTTCGATATCGCGAAGGCATTTGACAAGGTCTGGCACGACGGCTTGATTTACAAGCTGTACAAACTAAACGTGCCCGATAGGCTCGTGCACATCATACGAGCCTTCCTTTCGAACCGCACTTTTCAATATCGAGTGGAGGGAATCCGTTCTTCGAAACGCTTCCTCAAGGCCGGGGTCCCACAGGGCTCCGTCCTATCTCCACTCCTCTTCACACTCTTCACGAGTGATATCACCAAAGACCCCGTAGTGAACACCGCTCTCTTTGCCGACGATACGGCACTCTTTGTGTCAGACTACAGCAAAAATAGACTCTCTATAAAGCTCCAAAAAGCGATCAATCGCCTTGGTGAATGATTCCGTCTATGGAGAATTGACGTGAATCCCGAAAAAAGTGTAGCAGTATACTTTCAACGGAATTCAACAGCAGGTTCCAAACCAAATAAGATTTCTTTATACGACCGCCCAATCCCTTGGGAAAAATATGCCAAATACCTAGGCGTCACGTTCGACTCCCGCATGAGTTTCGCGACGCACATAAGTGTAGTACGCAACAGAGCCAAGTCAATAATTGGCCATCTATACCCTCTCGTTAACAGCAAGAGTAAGCTGTCGCTAAGACACAAACTTCGGCTGTACAAAACTTGCATTAGACCAGTTATGTCCTATGTAAGTGTAGCTTTCGCCCACATATATAAGACCCATATTTTAAAACTCCAAAGAGTACAAAACTTTTTCATACAAAAAGCCACCGGTGCACGGTGGTATCAACGGAACTCTGATATAAACAATGATTGTGAAATACCATCTATCTCCGAATATTTTAAGGAGATGTCCCAGAGCTACTTTGATAGAGTAGAAACCCACCCTAACCCGCTAGTGACAAACGCAGCTAACTACGTTCCGATTTTGTTGTTTTGAAGTTACATAATCATTAACAGACGCACCAACGGTTACCTATATTATTATATTTTATATGGCATAAGAGTGACAAACGAGTACACAGTCCACCTGATGTTAGATGGATACTGTGGTCCATAGACATTTACATTCATCCTCGACTAAGCATCAATCTTAAGATGCGTTGTCACTCCTCCAGTGAAAAGGGTCTCCAAACAGTCGCGGTTATCTCATTGGTTTCTGTGTGTCTGTTCTGTGTGTCGATTTGGTGGTTAATATTATCTTGCACTTTGTTGTTATTCCAATGATATACAAGAAAAGCACTTCCCTAAAACACTATTAACAAAATCATTGTGGATTATTACCAATGATTCTGAGATAATATTTCAAAAGTTCCCCGACGTAGTGATTAAATATTATTTGGTCTTTAGAGTAATTTCTTGCATATGTATGAACTAGCTGATGCCCGCGACTTCGCCCGCGTGGTAGTTTTTTTGCGCGGAACCCTAAAATAAACGTAGCCTAAGTTACTCCTTATAACGTCAGCTATCTGCCAGTGAATGTGACACAGGATTTGCGTGATTCGTGGTCAGACAGACGTATTGGAGTTTTGTTATAGTATAGATAGATTATTATAGTATAGATTCTTCGATTCAATTTTCGTTGATAAGATCGCTGTCACGACCGCTCTGACCCGTCCAACTACCGGCCAATCGCCATCACCTCCTTGTTCTCCAAAACAATGGAGTCCATTGTAAACTGCCAGCTCATGAGGTACCTTGAAGATCACCAGCTGATTAGTGACCGCCAGTACGGTTTTCGCCGTGGTCGGTCAGCTGGTGATCTTCTGGTCTACCTAACTCACAGATGGGCGGAGGCAGTAGAGTTCAAGGGGGAGGCATTGGCCGTTAGTTTGGACATTGCGAAGGCCTTCGATCGGGTTTGGCACAAAGCGCTTCTTTCGAAGCTCCCTTCCTATGGGCTTCCCGAGAAATTGTGCGATTGGATCACCAGCTTTCTTGCAGATCGGAGCATCAAGGTCGTTGTAGACGGTGCAAGCTCCGATTGCAAGCCTATTAATGCTGGTGTTCCACAGGGCTGCGTGCTATCGTCAACGCTGTTTCTTCTGCATATCAATGACATGTTGCATACCCGTAACATTCATTGCTATGCAGATGACAGCACTGGTGATGCTCTTTACACCGGCCGAGCCAATATTTCTCGGGAAAACGTCTCCGAGTGCCGGGACAAACTTGTCTGTCTGAAGTCGAGTCTCTGCTGGACAGAGTCTCGGATTGGGGGCGACTAAATCTAGTCCAGTTTAACCCGCAGAAGACACAAGTTTGCGCGCTAACCGCTCAAAAGAACCCCTTTGTCGTATCCCCTCAGTTTCAAGGCACCCCTTGTTGCCTCAGCCAGTATCGGAATCCTCGGCGTCGACATATCGAGTGACGTGCAGTTTCGTGGTCACTCGGAAGGGAAGGCCAAATTGGCCTCTAAAAAGCTTGGCGTGCTTAGCAGAGCGGGACAGTATTTCATGCCGGCACACCGCCTGCAACTTTACAAGGCGCAGGTTCGGCCGCACATGGAATACTGTTCCCATCTCTGGGCTGGGGCTCCCCAGTACCAGTTTCTTCCACTTGACCGCATCCAGCGCAGAGCGGCTCGAATCGTCGACGACCGAGTGCTTTCCGATCGGCTCGATTCACTGGCGCTGCGAAGAGATGTTGCATCTCTTTGCGTATTTTATCGCATCTATCACGGGGAGTGCTCTGAGGAATTGTTCGGATTAATCCCAGCCGATAAATTTCGTGAACGCACTACACGTCAAACGTCCCGATACCATCCACACCATCTGGATGCTTGGCGGTCCACCACTGTACGTTTCACAAGGAGTTTTCTTCCACGTACAACCTCTCTGTGGAATACTTTACCACCGGCGATTTTTCCGGACCGATACGACCTGGGGACCTTCAATAAAAGAGCTTACTCCTTTCTAAAGGGCCGGCAACGCACCCGCAATTCTCCTGGTGTTGCGGTTGATCATGGGCGGCGGTAGTCACTTAACATCAGGTGAGCCGCATGCTCGTTTGCCTCTTCTTCTATAAAAAAAACAGATGTTGAAAAAGAAATGTATGTAATAACTCTAAAGTCAGAGGACCCGCCCTTTTGACACCGTAACCCATTGCCTGTTTGCACCGGTTTGAGTATTTTTTACCTAAGCGAGATAGATATATCCATATCTGCAATAATAATAATTACAAAAGTAAAACGAAATACTGTGTTATTTATACTCACTTGTAATGTAGCATTGAAATAAGTGCCTGGTGCGCATTGTCTTTCAACTTTTTGTCCATGGACGCAATAATAAAATTTATTACATTCGGTTTCATGAGGGAGCAACTTATGGACATTAAAATCAGCTGGGCAGCCATTTTCTAACAAATAGTCATCTGATTCGGTTGATGAAGTCGTCGTCGTCGTTGTTGTTGTTGTTGGTTTTTGTGTTGTAGAAGTTGTCATTGTAGTGGTTGTTGTTGGTGCTGGAGTGGTAGTAGTAGTGGTTGTTGTTGGAGCTTTAGTTGTTGTGGTGGTAGTCGTCGTTGTTATTGGCTTCATTGGACTTCCAGGAAGTGTACAATTAGCCAGAGTCGGATGGATACAGACCTTCAATCAAAATTAAACCATTATTAACATTACTACTACGTTATTACATTATTTATTACATCTAGTAACTACTAACTAAATTTATTCAATAAATTTTATACAGATAATTTGCAAATTAAAATATTCAGCTTAATATAATCGTCATGAGTGCAGGCTTTCAAAAGTCTACTGTCAAAAATAGAACTTTCCAGGTCATTTCATTTCTTACAGTTGAACCAGACCGGTCGAACCGACCCAGACGGGTGGATTGCAGAAATAGAGAGATGGTGAAAGGAAGCATGTACCCTCTGTAACATTAGCACTAACTTTAAGTGTATAAGTAAGTTAAATATGATTAACTCTTTAGTAGAATAAAGTAAAAATTATATAATAATACTTTTATTGTCATTGAAATTTACAACATTTTAATAAAAACTAAAAACTCAGATTATCATACTCTCCTATCTTACTACATCTTTGAGCGAAAATAAAACCACCCCTTTTATCACCAGCGGCAACGACAATTCCCGAATACAGTTTCTTTTAGAAAATTCAACGCACGTGGACTCCACGGACCGATAGTCTTTACGGGAGATGTCACAAGGAGGAGAAGAAGAGAAGGAGATATTGCCAAGGTATATACGCACACAGTGCACGTTGTCTTTAAAATCAAGGGAAAATTTATAGAGACAAAAACATTTTGAAAACATCGTTCAGAGAACCGTTGGTCTAGGTATTTTATATTCGGCATATTTAAGAAATATACTGTCTTCTATCGGAGGCCAAGACGTCTTTATGATATTTCCATCAACTCTTATCCCTACAACAGTCAAAAACGCCGGGATGGCACGCAACGGAGAATACAAACAGATGCTGCGGCTGTCTATTAATTCACTCTGTTGCCGGTTTTATAACCTGTTCATATTTATAAAAGGTTTATTGATATCTAGAGAAAGCTAGATAACAAATAATTTTTAATCTGTAATTCGATGACGAATTTGAGGATATGCCGTTGAAAATCATCATTTAAATCGCTCCAATTCAGTCCTTGTTCATTTTATCTCGTATTTAGTGTTTTCTTGTTTATTATTGCTGAAAACATCAAAATATCGAGAAACATAAATTATCTTTAATATTTGCACGTTGTTATGTGTGTTTTCATTCATAATTTTCATAAATACTTGAATGATCGGGTCACTAGAAATGAATGCATGACACATTTTTTATATGTTAAGGTAACAAACAAGCACACAGTCCACCTGATGGTAAGAGGTGCCTGTGGCCCATAGACATATATCCTCGATTACGAATCAAAATGCAGATGAGTTGTCACGCGTGAGGACTAAAATGGAATATCTCGTTTCCAGTAAAAAGGGTCTCAGGTTCTCTACACTCACCATACGAAACACAGCAGTATTAAGCTACTATTTTACACTGGTATTCTGTGAGAGCGTGGTCGTTCCCCTGTCTAGCCGACCCATTTGTGCTGCAACTATACTACTAATATAACTGCAACATGGCTCTACCTCTACTTTCTTGTTTACGCCAAATAGCAGTGCTTGCGCTGCTGTCAGAAGGGTGTAGAGAGCCAGTATAATTTCGGGCTGTGAGGCATTCTATCTTTGTCTTTAAAGGTGAAAACGCATCTGTAGCATTCTTTATTTAAAATTGGCTTCATGTGTCCATGGACTGCAGCATCCACTTACCACCAGGTGCACTGTTAGTTCTTTCGTCACTTCATTTTTATTGAAAAGACCAACGGCACGAAATAGAGGGTGATGCATTCTTTTACACCATCACCATGACAAATATTTGTTACCTGCAACTTAAACGAGAACTGAGTTCCAGGCGCACAATCTCGTGGTAACTCCCATTTCATTCCATATTCACAGTAGTAGAACTTTGTGCAGTCGTATTCATGGGGTAGAAGATAATGACGCTGATCCTCGGGGCAAAGTTCATTACGCTCACAATTTTCCTTTCTTTCGTATTTGTCCTCAACTTGGGGTTTCCCCTGGGCTAGAACCAGGGCGGTCAGGAACACGATTTTTTCTATAAAAAGAAACTTAATTCAATTCATAAGTCGAGAATAGCTTCTGTTAGCGGTGCAAGCATAATACCACAAGGTGCCATACAGAAAGTTCTCTAAATCGTTTAGCTGACCTCGGAGATATCGTGTGATATATAATAAACATTAAAAAGAACGTAAATTGAAATTGATAACCCCCTAATTTGAAGTCGATTAAAAGTATCAAGGTTTTTATATATGGCTTACAAACGACATCCACCTGATTGTTAATGGAGTTTGTGACTTATAGCCACTTACATCTTCAGTTAAGAATCAAAATGTATCTGTTTTGCGTTTGTCACTTCTAAGTACTAACATGGCGTACTATGTAAAGGCTTTCCAATGGTAGAAAAATATATAAGAATAGACAGGAAAAGGATGACAGTATCAGTGATTGCTTAGGGTAGCCCTTGCGTTCGCTATAAGTTTCACATTACGAAAGCAACCCATGTTTGACCTTCGCCAGCACCAATGTATTTGTTATTTGCAAGTTGTAACCTAATGAGCTAATAAAAGGAAAACATCGTGAGGAAACCTGCATGTCTGAGAAATAAAATATTTCTAGAACGTTATAATATTTTCTTACTTATATTATGCGCCATCATGCACTGATACACTGCGAAGGAAGAAAGCAGTGAAACCGATATAGGCTATAACTAAATTTTTATATGGTATGGAGTGCTAATATTAAATGAGGTTCTGGCAGCCTAAAAATTGAGATAAACTGAGTTTTCTGACAATCTTCGCTTGTTTTCTATATAATACGGGCAAAAATATTTGATTCCATTAAACTAGTCACCACCTCTTTTACACGGAGCTCAAACTTAGTCTTTAACAGGTCAAAAAAGATCCATATTCGAGATTTTCCAGTGAGATGGGGCGTAGCATTTTAAGAGTGAAATAAAATATGCATTCGAATATGACATCGGGTTCCAATACCTAGATCAGCGACTTGACAAAAAGTCGCTATTATGAAAATCAAATCAAACGAGATTGGGCAAACATGTTGCCAGACTAGATTTGAAAAAATATTCTACTATGGCATGAAATGGTAGCGTGGCTGACCTACGCGAAAATAGAGATATAAACTAGCTTAAATAAACTTCATACGAAAGAATGGGAAAGTCAAGAATTCATTAAAAAAATCAAAGATTGAACACGAATGAGGTAAGGTAGCGAAGACTGGCCTCATCTCAACAGTGGGGCAGCATAGGCTTAAATAATATCCTCATTATTTACAAGTCTACTGTTGAACATAGGTCATTCTCACGCCGCGAGATACGGGCCAGGTTCACCTGCCTCCATCGGCTTCCTGTATGTCTTACCAGGTCGTGTCTCTATCTAGCGGGATTCGCTCTACTCTTTGCTTACCGATACGAAGTATAGAAAGTAGATATAAAATAATATTATCACAAATAATAATAATGTCCCCTAGACTGAATTTCGGAGACCGAGTCACGGAGGCCAGTTACACCGGACTAGCTGTTTACGCAGGATAGGATTATGATACAATAGTGTGTGCAAGTACAGTTGCATTTACTTTACACTCATTCTTATAGTCCCATAGAACGGTAATCCGTAGTGACCGCAAAGAGATCAGCAGACAAGGGACTAACAACTACACGTGCTTTCCCGAGCACTCATCATCATCATCATTACAGCCCTTCACAAGTCCACTGCTGAACATAGGCCTCCCCAAGCAACGCCACAAAGCACGGTCCTGAGCCACCTGCATCCATCGACTTCCTGCATGTCTTACCAGGTCGTCACTCCATCTAGTGGGGGGTCGCCCTACACTACGCCTACCGGTACGAGGCTACCACTCGAGAACCTTTCTTCCCCATCGGTTATCGGTTCTTCGAGCTATATGGCCGGCCCATTGCCACTTCAGCTTACTAATCCGTTCGGCTATGTCGGTCACTCTGGTTCTACTGCGGATATCCTCTTTTCTGAGTCTATCACGCAGAGAAACTCCGAGCATAGCACTCTCCATAGCTCGCTGAGCGTCCTCATACGGCCAGCGGTGAAGGACCACGTCTCTGATCCGTAAGTCATCACTGGCAACACGCACTGGTTGTACACTTTAGTTTTCAGAGATTGAGGTATACCTGACGTGAAGATGTGTCGTAATTTTCCGAACGCTGCCCAGCCGAGTTGAATCCGTCGATTGACCTCTCGGTCGAAGTTGGACTTACCTAGTCGGACTATTTGTCCCAGGTAAACGTACTCGTCAACAACTTCGAGCATAGTGCTCCCAACAACTGCCGGCATAGGTGTGACATGGACATTAAACATGATCTTTGTTTTGTCCATGTTCATCTTAAGACCTATCCGTTGGGAGACACTATTGAGGTCATTGAGCATAGTGCTAAGGTCCTGCAGCGATTCTGCCATAGGACTATATCGTCGGCAAATCGAAGGTGAATGATGTACTCGCCATTGATGTTAATACCGTATCCTTTCCAGTTCAGTAGCTTGAAAACGTCTTCCAACGCAGCGTTGAAGAGTTTCGGGGATATAACGTCACCCTGTCTTACACCTCTCTGCAGTTGGATACGCTTCGAACGTTGGTTCTGTACTCAGATAGCCATCGTAGCCCTACTGTACAAACACTTCAGCATTTCGATATACCGACAGTCAACTTGGCACCGCTGAAGGGACTGTAGCACCGCCCAAATTTCGACGGAATCAAAGGCTTTCTCATAGTCCACATACGCCAGGCAAAGTGGCAGATTGTACTCCGAAAATCATACCCCTAGATCCCGAGCACTGGAGTGATACAAAGGAAACTTCCCAACTTCACGCTGTTACTGAGATGGTCTGGACAAAAAAACCTAATAACTGATTTCGGCCGGAATCGGTATTCAAACCCGAGATAACATGATCAGCAGTCACGCCCACGGCTGCAAGACTACCTAAGCAGTCAATAGAGAGAAAGTTACAGTAAGAATAGGTAAAAATTAGGGTTATACCCAATTACGCTACTCTGCTAGGCACAGACCTACTTATTTTTAGCAATAACTGTGCGCTGCCCCAGTGTGTGTTGGCCGACTTTACATGTTCGATTTTTTTCAGCCATGCCGGTATCCTTGCAATTTTGTTTTTCATAACCGAACTCAGCACACAGCACGGCACCAATGAAACTGTTAATTCCAATTTTTAGTGCTGATTCACCACTCAATGGGTTAAGTGCTTATTACTAATACTCTAAAGTGGAACTGTTAAAATATAAGGAAGTACTCGAGTAATTTATCTCCACTTGAATCGTCTTTTGAAATCACTATATAGGGTTTAGCGCTTATTACTTATTTATGGTACTATACAGGGTAGGGCTGATCTGACACTGACACCACAATGCATATAAATCTATACATTGTGGTGTCAGTCTGTCACTTTACTAGAGAAAAAAGAAAGGACATGACATACCTACGAAAAAAATGTGTATACCTAAACTGAATAGGGCACAAAGATGGCGGCTTGACGTAATGCTGCGCACTATACTTAATATCGATAATGTGGCGCTTATTTACTCATAAGGTAAAAAGAGACGCCGATATTTCGTTACATTCCTCCAACTAACGATCTTTATGTCATGTCCTTTCTTTCTTCTCTAGTCAAAGGTCGGTCATATCTAGTTTCCTAGCAACGGCTCCTAACGATTTGAATGTATTTTTGCAGTTAGACATACATAACTCTCACGCCTGTCACCCAGAGGGGTAGGCAGAGACTACAGACTTCCATTTGGCACGATCCGAACACACCTCTCTCGCATTCTCCACATCCATATACCTACGCATACATGCTCGTCGGTTAGGGTACTCTAAATTTGGCCCATTTTCAATAAATCGCCAATTTGTTAGATAAACTTTTGCCTAGGATGTCCCTTTCCGACTCTTCCGTTCACTTCTGCAACATAACTTTCCTTTGTCACTCTTTCCACATTCATTTTTGTTGTCAGACAAT